GTATCCAGATTGTCATACCTTCATACTGACCTTGCGCCATATCGGGATATTTGATAATACCGGTACTGAACACAAAGGGTGCGGTTTTCAAACTCCACTGATACTCTGTAATCCGAAAGTTAGCAATGCTAAGAAGTGCATGTAAAAAGAATGCGAACTAAATGCTAATGAGCGCATTGAACATTTTGTACAGTTTCTGACCTTAATGAGACAAGTAACTCAAAAATGCTACTCACAGTTTGCTGCAGGCACAAAAATAATTTAGCCAGCAAGGCTCTTGATCCAGGAGGGATTCTCTGCTTTTCCCAAGTGACTGCTTGATTTTGGAAGAAGCTAACCACTTAGCTAGATAGCTAACTAGCTACTAAATTAGCAAACCAAATGCACAACTGCAGAGCATTTAGCACATTTTAGACAGTTAACTTAATAGTTATAAGACATCTAGCTGGCAAACATTTAGTTGTGAATTTCATACTGTAATTAGATCACCTGTCGCATGCTGCACAACAGTACAAACAAGGCTTCCTTCTTTTCACTCTGTTGATTAGGTTAGTATTGTGGAGTAACTACAGCGTTGTTGATCCATCCTCAGTTTTCTCTTATCACAGCCATTCAACTCTTTTTATTTGTACCCATCAACCAATACGTACCCTTTGCGAGGCATTGGTAAACCTCCCTGGTCTTTGTGATTTAATCTGTTTGAAAATCACTGATCCACTGCGGGACCTTACATATGATTGTATATGTGGGGTACAGAGATTAAGTAGTCATTCAAAAATAATGTTAAACACTATTATTGCACACAGAGTCCATGTGACTTTTTAAGCAACTTTTTACTACTTCACTTATTTAGGCTTGCCATAAGAGGTTGAATACATTTCAGCTTTTCATTTTTAATTAATTTGTAAACATTTTGAAAAACATAATTCCACTTTGACATTATGGGGTAGTCTGTGTAGGCCAGTGACAAATATCAATTTAATCCATTTTAATTCCGGCTGTAACAAAATGTGAAGGCACTGTATGTACTGTAAGAAGATGACAAGTTGGGCTTCCCGAGTGGCCCAGCGGACTAAGGCACTGCATCACAGTGCTTGAGGCGTTACTACAGACCCGGGTTCGATCTCAGGCTATGTCACAGCCGGCCTTGACGGAGAGACCCATGAGGCGGCGCACAATATGTCCAGCATCGTCCGGGTTAGTGGAGGGTTTGGCCGGCCGGGATTTCCTTGTCCCATCGCTCTCTAGCGACTCCTTGTGGGGGGCCAGGCGCCTGAAAGCTGACTTTGGTCGCCAGCTAGACGGTGTTTCCTCCGACACATTGGTGCGCCTGGCTTCCAGGTTATGCGAGCAGTGTGTCAAGAAGCAGTGCGGCTTGGCAAGGTCGTGTTTTGGAGGACGCATGGCTCTCGACCTTCGCCTGTCCCGAGTCCGTAGGGGAGTTGCAGCGATGGGACAAAACTGTAACTACCAATTTGGATATCACGAAATTGGGGAGAAAAGGGGGTAAAAGTACAACAACAAAACAGTTTCTTAAACTTGTCAGCTAGCCTCAACCACATTTAGATTGTTTTTGGAGAAATTAATTATAGTATGAACATTTTCAAACACTGCAGGATTTTTTTCAAGCCCTATTTTAAAGGGATAGTTCACCCACATTACACATGTACATGTTTGTTTCCTTACCTTGAAAGCTGTCTAAGCAGACACGGAGAGACTGCAATCCATGCTTTGGTTAGCTACTGCCACAAACCGTGAAAAATAGGGGTAGGGTTGTAGAGAATCGAAGGACCATGAATGTAATAAGAAACCTTAAGTGCTGGCTTAAGGCCGGTAGCAACCACTACAGAATGTCCTGTCAGAACAAGGATGAGGCAGATGTCCAGGTTAAAGGGAGTTTAATGGAAGATGTCCACATTCACACATCACACACACATCTGACCACGCATGGTTCAGATAACTGAGAATAATGTCCAGTGAGAACTGACATGAACTATGTGGTCCTGAAAGCAAAGAGGAGAAAGAAAACTTAGACTATAGCACTGCTATAAATGAATGACATGGCTGTATAAGCCTTACAGTAATGTTGAAATGTATACATAATATAGTTACAATGAGCATGAGTGACATAGAATAGAAAATAGCCTAGCACTGTAAATGAGCAATGCTAATAAATGGCTAATTACTAACAGTCATGCTAAGATGCTCATGCATTCCAATGCAAAATGCTAACGGTAGTGCTAATGCTAGCGGGAGCGCGAGCTACCTAACAAGCTCAACACACGGTAATTGTACACAATAAACCACAAAACTTAGCTCTACATAATGACACAGATCTCACAGCACTTACATTTAGATGCACAAACAATTAAAGATCAGACATACAGGGATTCAGTCCACAGGAGGAAAAGTTGAGCAGGAGGTTAAACTGTGGAAGTGATCATCAGGATGGGGAAAGCACGTTTCTGACCACACAGTGTGCTGGGGTCATAGACTAACTGAAGCCCCGGGAATCAAGGCCACTGATAGGCTGAAGGAGATGTGGTGATAAGTATTTGGTGTGACCGTGACCAATAAGACACTAACAAAAGTGGGGGTCCTAATTTACTGGACCCATAAGCATTGGGTGCGTAACCTGATTAGGGCGTCCACCCACAGTGCTCAGAATGACAGAAATCACATTTATTAACAGAACATACAAGTCGAGATTGCAATGATGTGCGGTCCAATAATTCTGATGTGCACTTCGAACATTTTAGAATAACTGTCCACATTTACTTTTCCTCAGCCAACAAGTTTAGGCTACCTATTCTATTTGTCAGCTTGTCGAGAAAGAAATGGCCTATTCCAAACAGACTCCGGGACAGTTGTGGGACGATAGATCCCAAATTCATACAACCAGTAGTAGGCCTAGGCTACATAAACTTAATAAAAAACCATTAAAAAGCAATGAGTCTGATACAACAGATGAGAACGTTTAGCTTAATGTTGACAAACCATTATTTCTGTACATTATAAGCACAGCAATGCACACAAGGCAGTAGGCTACTTGCGAATGTTCGCTCCATAATGCAATTACTGGGAAAACACCATTGTCAAAATGGCACTGCACATGTGAGTTGTTTCATGTGACAGAGATGAAAATATCCATTAGAAATTTAGAAGAGAGGAGATCTAATAGGCTACTTTGAAACAATGTAAGACAAGCCTCGTATTAAAACATTCAGGTTTCAAACAATGAAGTATATGTTTTTAAAATGCATACGGCCTCCAGCTCATTGTAAAGTGGTGTGTGACGCACTGATGAAGCCTGCCTTCTGTTGCCGATTGACGCCGTGTTCAAAACAACTGTGAACTGGCAACTCGGAAACTTGTGCGTTCAAGACTGGGAACTGGGGGCAAAAATGAGCTCCGACTGGGGATTTTCTTTCTCAAAGGTCACCCAACTCGGAATCTCGGGCCTCTTTCTAAAGCTCCGACTTTTTGACCTGAAGATCACTGATGTCATGATTTTACCTGTATTTTCCCAATTGTCTTGAAAGCGCCACAACCTGATGCAGCAGCTCTTGCGCTGTCTGACAGATTTTCCACTTGAAGGCTCTATCGGTATGCTATCGGTGTGTGATAAGATGCATAACGAATATACTGTACACGCGCCAATTTAATTCCACAAAATTATGCAAATTACCCCATAGACCAATAAGCGTGACCAGTCAAATGTATTTCCATCGACTGGTATTTCCATCAATGAATAGGCCAAAAAACATTATTATTCGCAATGGGATTATTTTCTTCTTCCGGACAATTGGCTAGCGGCAATTTTATTTATTTCAATGTTTCTATATCTTTATCGGACAAAAGCCGGCTATTACTGGCTAATGGAAACCCTGGTTGACATGCATAACCTTTTCTAACCAATTCTAATATTTTGAATAATGTGATGGGCCTATGCCGCTGAAAGCAGATATGAAATAGTTTTATTTATGGATTGATCATTGCCTCAGAAATAAAGTATTTCAACATCTCCAAAGCAATTAATTGCCTGTATGGCGCAGAAACCGCTGACTCGCTGCCTTTAAAAAAAAAAAAGTATAATCAAGACACCTGCTGGCAACGCTTAACTGGTTAGGACAGCTCATGGGGTCTCCTTAATATCTGTTGACTAGGTAGGACTCGTATGACTGATCTGTAGCCGTGCTCTACCAATCTGTAGCTCAATTGGTAGAGCACGGCGCTTGTAACGCCAGGGTAGTGGGTTCCATCCCCGGGACCACCCATACGTAAAAATGTATGCACACATGACTAAGTCGCTTTGGATAAAAGCGTCTGCTAAATGGCTTATTATTATTATTATTATTATTATTACTAAAGAGGCTTCATGCATAGCTTTTGATTTTTACCCCTAAGAATAATAGGAAAATGTCTATTCTCAGTACTTACAACCAATTTTCTTCTCTGAGAGACTTTGTTGATACGGCCCCTGGCTTCATACTCTGTAACGGCCTAAATTCATGCAATTTTCTATTTTAACTGGTCAAATAAAGCCTGCAATCCAACATTTAGACCTTTTAAAGATAATTATGAAGTGGTTTAATTTGCAAATGACAAACTTTATTTTCCATGCTCAGATTGACTTTTCCCACGGAATTGCCCTCATAGAGTCATGCTACTATACTTATTTCAAATGCGCATGGCTCTGGATTCCGGAATGTTGTATTTTCACTCAATCTGCACTGGGCCTGCAACACTGTCTGCCTGCACAGGAAGAATAAGGTTTAGGACTCATCTCGGAAACCCTATGTCCCAATTCTCCTGAAGTGTGCTCTTGTTCACTTTGCTACATGGATTTAAAATGAAAGAACTGATTACGGACACTCCCTCTTTAGCCCATGATTACACTTATCCAATGCTTTTACATTTATGGGGATAAGTGCATAATTGCAGACTTTGGAGAAAGGATCAAGAATTGGGACACCATTTTGTGATGTGTGTGCATGATAATGCCTGTCCCGCTCTTCCCCAGCCTGCTCCCCAAGGCTGTGAAGAGGCGAGTCTACGCCCTGAAGAGGCTACAGGTGCAATGTGCCCACATAGAGGCAAAGTTCTATGAGGAAGTCCACGAGCTGGAGAGGAAGTACGCTGGCCTCTACCAGCCCCTCTTCGACAAGGTACAGTCACACCTCACTACTACAGTTGTTACCTCTGTGGCCTCCTCTTCTTGTCTCCTTTCCTCTCCTGTGCACTGAGCTATAAACACAGGATTAGTGAAAGCAAATGACAGACACATTCTTGGATTTTCTTAACAATTTGTGCAGACTAAGGACAGGAAACCACTTGAGATAATGACGCCCCACAGGAAGGGATAGAGGTCGACTACTTTCAACAGTGACTCACTACTCAAAATGTAAAAAAGGGGTGTGCTGCTTTGGCATCAAGTATGAAGACAGGTGCTAATCGGAGAACAGGTTATAACTTATAGTGACCAAATGAAGTTGCAGCTTCCATTTACATACACTACCAGTCAAAAGTTTTTTTCACTATTTTTTTTACATTGGCTCAAACGCATTAAGAAGGAAATAAATTCTACAAATTAACTTTTAAGAAGGCACACCTGTTAATTGAAATGCATTCCAGGTGACTACCTCATGGATCTGGTTGAGAGAATGCAAAGAGTGTGCAAAGCTGTCATCAAGGCAAAGGGTGTCAATTTATTCATTGTCTTTTGTTTGGAGCGCTCCTGTCAATGTTGCGTAAGGACGCGCACCTGATTACGCATAGAAATAGGCCTAGGCTACCTGACCTGTGCGCAAATGTATACATGTGCCCATTTGGGGATGTCTGATAGTATTTGTCTTAACTCGGCGTTCCTAATGAGCTGTGGAGCTTCTCAAAGAAAACATTTCTTCCCTTCAAACGCAAGTAATCCGTTTTTTAAGTCTATTGAGAATGACAATAGTTCCTCAATGTATTTGAAAAATCTTTCCCGCTCTCTCCCTTTTGATAACCACCGAGCCTCGGCGTGAAAGGGGAAAAATTTTATTCTCTGATCCAGTGGAAACGTCATAAAATATCTGGTTAATTCTTATCCGTTATCTGTCCGGAGCTCACTAGCATGGAAACTGAGGGCCTAGTTGATACAATGTTTCAAGTTCATTGCAGACATTCGGAGTAGAGAGATGAATGTGATTTTTTTTTTTAGTTCTTTATTTTTATCAGGATATTGCAATGTTTTTATTTGTTGACTTTATGTAGGCTATTTTTATCTAGTTGCCAGTATAAGTTACTTGCATTGGTATATAGGCCTCTCTCTGCATTCTGCTCTAAGTTATTTAGCTGCTAATGGCACGCGGTTTAGGCCATCATACAATATGACAAGATAAACAATGTGCTCGCCTCCACCTTATATAAACTTAAATTGGGTGCTGGATCCTCGTGTGTGTATATAATCCAAAAAAACAGATAGGACAGCACTCGGGTAAATAAACTTAAATTGACATTTTTATTGCCGGATGAAGGTTTCAAGTATGAGCCCTTCGGCGTGCAAGGCAATGGCAATTCATGTCACAACAACAATACCACACAGTGAAGAGGCGACTCCGGGATGCTGACCTTCTAGGCAGAGTTGCAAAGAAAAAGCCATATCTCAGACTGCCCTTCTTAATCTTTTCTATTTATTGGCCAGTCTGAGATATGGATTTTTCTTTGCAACTCTGTCTAGAAGGTCAGCATCCCGGAGTCGCCTTTTCACTGTTGATGTTGAGACTGGTGTTTTGCTGGTACTATTTAATGAAGCTGCCAGTTGAGGACCTGTGAGGCGTCTGTTTCTCAAACTAGACACTCTAATGTATTTGTCCTCTTGCTCAGTTGTGCACCAGGGCCTCCCACTCTTTCTATTCTGGTTAGAGACAGTTTGCGCTGTTTTGTGAAGGGAGTAGTATACAGCGTTGTACAAGATCTTCAGTTTCTTGGCAATTTCTCGCATGGAATAGCCTTCATTTCTCAGAACAAGAATAGACTGACGAGTTTCAGAAGAAAGTTATTTGTTTCTGGCCATTTTGAGCCTGTAATCGAACCCACAATTGCTGATGCTCCAGATACTCAACTAGTTTCAAGAAGGCCAGTTGTATTGCTTCTTTAATCAGCACAACAGTTTTCAGCTGTGCTAACATAATTGCAAAATGGTTTTCTAATGATCAATTAGCCTTTTAAAATGTTAAACTTGGATTAGCAAACACAACGTGCCATTGGAACACAGGACTGATGGTTGCTGATAATGGGCCTCTGTACGCATATGTAGATATTCCATAAAAAATCAGCCGTTTCCAGCTACAATAGCCATTTACAACATTAACAATGTCTACACTGTATTTCTGATCAATTTGATGTTATTTTAATGGGTAAAAAAATTGCCTTTCTTTGAAAACAAGGACATTTCTAAGTGACCCCAAACTTTTGAACGGTAGTGTGTATATATACTGAGATCATGTGACACTTAGATTGCACACAGCTGGACTTTATTTAACTAATTATGTGACTTCTGAAGGTAATTGGTTGCACCAGATCTTATTTAGGGGCTTCATAGCAAAGGGGGTGAATACATATGCACGCACCACTTTTCCGTAATTTTTTTCATTTCACTTCACCAATTTTGACTATTTTGTGTATGTCCATTACATGAAATCCAAATAAAATCCATTTAAATTACAGGTTGTAATGCAACAAAATAGGAAAGACGTCAAGGGGGATGAATACTTTTGCAAGGCACTGTATGCTTATGTTTCTTGCCAGTCACCCAGTGTTGTTTTTGTGTGCGTGTATGTGTGCGTTCTGCCCAAAGAGACGAGACGTGGTGACAGCCACAGTGGAACCCACAGACGAGGACTGTAAGTGGCACAGCGACAGAGAGGAGGAGGAAGAGCTAGCGGTAAGTAGAACTGATTAGCTCAAATTTATCATGCCTCTCAAACGCCTTGTAGTCAGTCACAGCTCAGTTCAGATTGAACCTTGAAACTCTGCTTCCTCACTAGTCCCATTTCAATGTATACATGGTGCTATAATTGCTTGGTCACCTTACCAAATATTCATTTTGGTTGAGTGTTACCTGTGTTTGATCTAGTCTAAATCATTTCTAAACATTTTAAAATAAATTACAGAAGATATGAGAAGTAAATCGGATAAAGTTTATTAGTTATGTTGCTAGTCTAAAGCAGTACTATTTGCCAGTCTAAAGCAGTACATACAAATGTTTGTGTGTGTGTGAGATCTGTCTTGTAGCATGTGGAGGGGCATGGCCACCAAGCATGCAGGTGACCATAGTCTGCTCATTAAGAAGGGACACTCCATTGCTAATTGGGGAAAAGTTTCTGCTCTAGTCCAGCTCTTTAAAAGTATTTTATATGTTTCTGTATCGTACAGGTTATAGTATCTAAACTGTTATTGTAGAGTTGTTTACTTTGCTAAGTGTTTATTGGCTTAGTTTGACAGTGCATTCAATTACAAATGTTTCCTGTCACCTGTTCTCTGCTTGGTTATAAATGCTCAGGTGTAGAGCTTTATGGGAGAGAAGATGGCCACCTGTCTTTGCAGGGGTTAGTTTGGGTTGTTCGGAGCCCTGGGGCTAGTCAGACTGATCTTCAATCTTTATATTAGTTTTTTTAATCCGTTTATTATTTACTTTGAGCCTGGTCCAGCATCTTGTTGGATGATTTGTATATTTTGTAAATACCTGCACCTACTCCAAGAGCCTTAAAATAAAAAACTTGCACTGGATATTCTGCTTCCTGCCTCTGCTTGCTCACCAACACCAGCCAGACAGCTCGACCATCCAGGGCAAGTAATGGGCCTACCATCCACCCCTAAAATTTGCTGCACTTGAACAAAATGATGCACATCCAGTATAGCTCTCCAGGACCACTGTTGGTAACTGACAACTGCATAGGAAATGCACAGATGGGGAATACATGAGAAATCAAAGTGTAGTAACCCAGTGTAGTAACAATTGTCTGCCTGTAGGAGGAGCTGAAGACTAAGGCTGCTGTTGAGGAGAAGAAAGAGGATGCCGCCCCAGAGGAAGACCCCAAAGGCGTACCCGAGTTCTGGCTCACCATCTTCAAGAGCGTGGACATGCTTAGTGACATGCTGCAGGTAGACACAGTCTTACTTACATGTGGGGCCTAGTCAGTGTGTGATTTCTCTCCTAACGGGCGCACACACATAGCAGAGTGGTGAGTGATATGCTGCATTTGAGTGATATGCTACAATGTAAACACATTGGAGTGGAGTACTGCATTGAAACTGTTTCTATCCCATCAGGAACACGATGAGCCCATCCTGAAGCACCTGCAGGATATCCAAGTCAAGTTCTCTGAGCCTGGACAACCTATGGTAGGTATTACAATCCAACTGAGTCTGAGATATCATTTTTTTCCCCTGGATCATTGAATCCTTCATCTGTGTCTGGACATAGAAAATTGAAATCGATAATTGAGTTCCTGGTCTTCTGACTTGTTTTTTCAGATCACATCCCTTTATTCATTGAATGAATTCATCCATGTTTTTATTTTGTACAAGAAACTGATCAAATAGCTGATCAAATAACTCTCACTGTCTGTACGTGGAACACAATGGTGGTTGGGAAGTTGTTTGCTGGGTAATTAAGTCATTTGGTCCTTCTATTGTTCCCCCTTGACAGAGTTTCACACTAGAGTTCCACTTTGAGCCCAATGGTTTCTTCAACAATGCTGTGCTCACTAAAGTCTACAAGATGAAGTCGGAGCCTGACGCCACCGACCCCTTCTCATTTGAGGGCCCAGAAATTATCGACTGTGAAGGGTGAGGGTCAACGACATTAGGAGATTATCACGATACTCCATCTCAATACTCATCGCAAGGAAATAAAACATGAAACAAACATTTCCTCAGGAAAGCAGTCCTAAAGTGGTAAACAAATAGTCATGTTTCCACCGAGAGTCAAATGTCTTTATATTCCAAGCTATAGAACATATTTTACATGAAACAGGTTCTTAAAGGTAGTGAACGGCAATACCGGGTCAATTTCCGCAACAACTAATTGAAGCGCGAGGTTTAACTTCTCCCGCAGCTATCAAGTTGTAGCTATTTAAGGGCACCTGTGCACATGCGCATCTACTCTGTGAATGCATTGTAACGCATCGCTCATCTGTTACATCTCATATCGCTGAGTCTCTGTTTAAAAGACCATAGTGTTTTGTGTAAATTTTTTTGCCATGGAAAATGGTGTATCATGGTATTGTGACAATAATAAACCATAACCCTCTAAGGGACGGTTTCCCGGACACAGATTAACCCATAACAGTCCTGTCTAAGCCAGGGGAGAGGGGGGTTCTACTAAGCTATATGGAATTGTCCTGCTTAAACTGACAGGTTTTTATGTTTTTTTTAATTATTATGCTAATGTGATATCCGCGGGGGTGCGGACATTGACTCTAGGGGTTTAAGCTCAGTCCTGGACTGAAAAGCTATTTCAATGGAGATGCACCATTGACCATGCTTTTTATTCCAGGACTATGCAGAAACCGGCCCTCAAAGTTTTACTCGTCATGTCAGTCTGCACATAAAATTGAATTGTATAATTTCTCTCTTCTTTCTCTCCCTGCCCTCCCCTCTAGTTGTCAGATAGACTGGCACAAGGGGAAGGATGTGACGGTGAAGACCATTAAGAAGAAGCAGAAGCACAAAGGCCGTGGCACCGTCCGCACAGTCACCAAGCAGGTCCCCAACGACTCCTTCTTCAACTTCTTCAACCCCATCAAATGTGAGAACACACCACAAACACAAGTCTTTACACCCTTTGCACAGTTGTCACATTTGGCTCCCTTCAATTTAAATCTAACAATGGATTAAATTGGGATTTTTCCCAACTGATCTACACAACCTACTCCACACTTTCAAAGTGAAAATAAATGTATAGACGTTTTTGAAAAGATTTATTGATGCGTAGGTCTTCGCACCCCTTGGTAGAAGCACCTTTGGCAGCAATTACAACTGTGAATCATTTTGAATACATTTCCACCAACTTTGCACAACTCTTGGGGCCCAATCTATCTATTGTTTTTGGCAAAATTGCTCAAGCTCATTCAAGTTGGTTGAAGAGCATTGATGGCAGAGATGGGATCAAGTCACAATTTAGCAAGTCTTAACCTTCAAGTCTTGTGTTAAGTCCCAAGTAATAATAGGCAAGTCTGTAAGTCGCTCTGGATAAGAGCGTCTGCTAAATGACGTAAATGTAAATGTAAATGTAAATGTAAGTCAAGTTCCAGAGCTCAGGTCAAATCACACGTCCCTAATTTTGGGTTTAGAGTCCTCAAGTCAATAGTTAAGTGTTTTATACCAATTTCAATGCCATTAAAATATGCAAGTAATATTTAATATTTTCCTTACACTAGCCTACTAGTACAATTTACAGCTGGTGTTGATAGTTCAGCTACAGTTTGACTGACATTATGAAATCTCCAATTAGAATGAAGTGTTCTTTTTTCCTCCCGGCCACTACATGCGCGTTGAGGTCTGTGGTTGGCTGAGAATCAACATTCACGTAAACTCTTGCTCAGAGCGCATATTTTCAAGCGACAAGCGTTGAAAATATAGGACAGTGCTCTATTTTCCCCCTTTCCGCACCTGCCGGCACTAGGCAGAACCAAATTTAACGGTCATTTCCCATATAACTCAATGTGATTCTCCGCTTAGAGCAACGGAATTGCATGTTTACTGTGTAATGACAAAATTTAACAGGAGAAGAAGGTTGTGCTGCTCTTTTTGGAAATCCAAGTCTCTCGAGTGTTACAGCTCAAGTCCAAGTTAAGTCCCAAGTCATAGTGTTTTTTTTATTTTTGCCAAGTCGAGTAGTACTCATGTCCAAGTCACGTGACTCGAGTCCACAGCTCTGATTGATTAACCGCAATGTCCGAGTATTGTCTCTGGTTTTCAAGCAGATTTAAGTCAGGGCTGAGACTAGGGCAGTGGTGTTCATGAAATTTTGGCAGCCGGTAACTGTCATGCAAATAATGGTAGTTAACCGTTAATGAACATAAACACGTTTGGCATCTCTGGGCTTCCACGCATAGCTTACAAACCACTGATGCAGGCCTTTGGAACATCTACAGTGAGGGGAAAAAAGTATTTGATCCCCTGCTGATTTTGAACGTTTGCCCAATGACAAAGAAAGGATCAGTCTATAATTTCAATGGTAGGTTTATTTGAACAGTGAGAGACAGAATATCAACAAAAAAATCCAGAAAAACGCATGTAAAAAATGTTATAAATTGATTTGCATTTTAATGAGGGAAATAAGTATAAGTATTTGGGGGGGGGGGGGGGGGGGGGGGGTAGAAGGATTACTTTATCCTATCCCAGGTATTCCTTAAAGAGGTGGGGGTTTCAAGTGTCTCCGGATGGTGGTGAGTGACTCCGCTGTCCTGGCGTCGTGAGGGAGCTTGTTCCACCATTGGGGTGCCAGAGCAGCGAACAGTTTTGACTGGGCTGAGCGGGAACTGTGCTTCCGCAGAGGTAGGGGGGCCAGCAGGCCAGAGGTGGATGAACGCAATGCCCTCGTTTGGGTGTAGGGACTGATCAGAGCCTGAAGGTACGGAGGTGCCGTTCCCCTCACAGCTCCGTAGGCAAGCACCATGGTCTTGTAGCAGATGCAAGCTTCAACTGGAAGCCAGTGGAGTGTGCGGAGGAGCGGGGTGACGTGAGAGAACTTGGGAAGGTTGAACACCAGACGGGCTACGCCATTCTGGATGAGTTGTAGGGGTTTAATGGCACAGGCAGGGAGCCCACCAACAGCGAGTTGCAGTAATCCAGACAGGAGATGACAAGTGCCTGGATTAGGACCTGTGCCGCTTCCTGTGTAAGGCAGGGTCGTACTCTCCGAATGTTGTAGAGCATGAACCTACAGGATCGGGTCACCGCCTTGATGTTAGCGGAGAACGACAGGGTGTTGTCCAGGGTCACGCCAAGGCTCTTCGCACTCTGGGAGGAGGACACAACGGAGTTGTCAACCGTGATGGCGAGATCATGGAACGGGCAGTCCTTCCCCGGGAGGAAGAGCAGCTCCGTCTTGCCGAGGTTCAGCTTGAGGTGGTGATCCGTCATCCACACTGATATGTCTGCAGAGATGCGAAGCACATATACAGGGCCGTCGGAAGTTTGCCAATAAACATCTGAATGATTCAGAGGAGAACTGGGTGAAAGTGTTGTGGTCAGATGAGACCCAAATCGAGCTCTTTGGCATCAACTCAACTCTCCGTGTTTGGAGGAGGAGGAATACTGCCTATGACCCCAAGAACTATCTCCACCGTCAAACATGGAGGTGGAAACATTATGCTTTGGGGGTGTTTTTTTGCTAAGGGGACAGGACAACTTCACCGCATCAAAGGGACGATGGACGGGGCCATGTACCGTCAAATCTTGGGTGAGAACCTCCTTCCCTCAGCCAGGGCATTGAAAATGGGTCGTGGATGGGTATTCCAGCATGACAATGACCCAAAACACACGGCCAAGGCAACAAAGGAGTGGCTCAAGAAGAAGCGCATTAAGGTCCTGGAGTGGCCTAGCCAGTCTCCAGACCTTAATCCCATAGAAAATCTGTGGAGGGAGCTGAAGGTTCGAGTTGCCAAACGTCAGCCTCGAAACTTTAATGACTTGGAGAAGATCTGCAAAGAGGAGTGGAACAAAATCCCTCCTGAGATGTGTGCAAACCTGGTGACCAACTACAAGAAACGTCTGACCTCTGTGATTGCCAACAAGGGTTTTGCCACCAAGTACTAAGTCATGTTTGGCAGAGGGGTCAAATACTTATTTCCCTCATTAAAATGCAATCAATTTATAACATTTTTGACATGCGTTTTTCTGGATTTTTTGTTGTTATTCTGTCTCTCACTGTTCAAATAAACCTACCATTGAAATTATAGACTGATCATGTCTTTGTCAGTGGGCAAACGTACAAAATCAGCAGGGATTCAAAAACTTTTTTCCCTCACTGTACATTTTAAAAAAGTATAATAAATCCATTTAATATAGCCTACACCATTATTTTAGGCAGGTCTAAAGAAACATTATGATATGAATTAAATGTAGCCTATTTCGGAAGAACAGAATAGCATATTCTGAGTCTGTTAGGCCCCAATTTGGCTATGCCATATGGCTGTGGGTTACACTAGTTCATTTAGCAGATAAGATTTACTTATAATTCCCGTGGCATTATTTTATAGTCAGAAGAATACAATTGGTCATAGCTGAATAAAATAGAAAGAATATTCTTCCCAAACGATTTCCGAGGGAGTGCGCACATGCAGCTATTCTGTGTTGAGCGGTTAACAAAGTGATAATTTGAAAATGGTCCTCCTATATGCTTACTGGAGTTACTTATGCAACTTTAGTTGTGATACAAACCATATGTTTTGATTTCTAATACATTCTAAGGCTGCATGATGCGACTAATGATAAAAGCAAAGTCACAATATTCTCACATCAGACTATGCTCAATTTAATCTGGTCTTTACATACAGCCTTCTAATATATGTGTGGAATTATTTTTTATTTAGAATGGCCCACAACAAAAAACATGTATTCTGCACGCGAATAGCAAATGGAGGAAGCACTTCCCGCGGCTACGTTTTTAATATGCCAGGTAGGCTACACTGGTTGTAAAGCAGATTAATGTGCTTAATTTGAAACATTTAACAATAAATATAGCAGCATGAGAAAGCTGGGATCCTCTTTTAAATAGTGGCCATTCAAAACTGTGTTTATACACAAGATTGCGCAATGACTGGGCTTATAAAAACTCATGTTTCACTAGGCTATGGGCTCTCCAACACTGTTCCAGGGGTCATAGGCCTTTAGGCTACGCTTAGTTATTTGGCCACTTCAGTTGTGATACAAACCTTACCAAAACATATAGACCTATGATGCATGCAACTAGGATTTTGACTCAAAGGTCACGTGGAATTTGACTGCGGTCATGACCCGTAACTGCCGATGTGGCAGAAATGTGGTCACCGTAACAGCCCTAGCTGGGACTAATAAACACTCAACACTTTGGAAATCCATTCTGGTGTGTCTTTGACCTTATAATTAGTGTAAATATCGCCCTGAAAAATGTAACAGAGGTAGGTTTTCCTCTAAGGCAGGGATTGGCAACTTTTGATGGGGTAGGGGCCACAAACAAATCTCACAGAGGGGCCGCAGTTGCGCCGCTGCCGCCACCAACATTTTAGAATTAATTTCGTGCAATTCTACACATTTTGCCATGCGGTGTAGAGAACTTTTCTGCTTTAAAGCAATTTTGCTGCCATTCTACGCATTTTGCCATGGAGTGGAGAGATTTTGGAATTGTATAACTAATTTCATGCAATTCTACTCATTTTTCCATGGGGCGGAGAGGAATGTTTGCAGTTTTAAATATGACAGCTAGACTAACTTCTACTATTCTAACTCGCAACAGTGAGTTGAGATCCCAACTGAGTAAAACAATGAATAAATAAATACACTTAACAAAAATATAAACGCAACATGCAACTATTTTAAAGATTTTACTGAGTTACAGTTCATATACATTTATAAATTCATTAGGCCCTAATCTATGGATTCCACATCACTGGGAATACAGATACCTTTTAAAAAAAGTAGGGGCGTGGATCAGAAAAACAGTCAGGATCTGGTGTGGCCACCATTTTCCTCATGCAGCGCAACATCTCCTTCGCATAGAGTTGATCAGGCTAAGCACACAGCCA